TTGATAAACTATTAAAAAACTTATTGGAACCAGATAATTTCTTCCTTCTGAACAGCGCTGTAATTCATTTCATTTGCTTTGAACTGAAATATACATACATAACATCAGACTCTCTTGTTCTGGAAAGGATTTATTTAAAATGTTTTGGTTATATAAGTGTTTATCTGGAGCAAAACCCAGAAATAAGTGTAATTTTTATTATGAATCACCATTAGTAATGCGCTAAAAGTCGGCAATGTCTGACTTATTTAACGTCCTGCCTCTTTTCGTTTAATTGGCAGAAGTGAATGTGCAATTGGGCTATAAATAAACCTGCTTCTACCGATTATGGGGCAATATACGCGTGCAATATTTCCTAGTTGCTTTCTAGTTGACACAACATAGTAAAGAGGGTCGAGTGGGCGGAAAGCAATGAATGCCATAATATACAGCGGACTTCAAATATGTAGCTTTCGGGATGGCATAAAGCCAGAATCGCACTCGTTGTTGGTTTCGAGGAGATCCTAGTAGACATCCTGTTAATTCCAAGCTAGATCTAGATAAGGTATATAACCTATATATGGCAGACGGCACAATTTTAAGACATAAACTGATGCTATTTTTTAATAACTAATTTGCTAACCTATCAACTAAACTTTTTGCCCCCTACAGATTCAAAGAGCATACTGGGTGCCAATTTCCTAAAGCCACACACAGGCTGTTGTACTAACCACCGGTCTTATTAACTATGATTACTAGAATAACCACTCATAGCATAAATACATTACGTCTAGCAGCAGCATTATCTCCCTCGTAGTGCAAACTCTGTAGACGTTGACACATCAGAGTGGATATACTTTAGAGGGCGGAAACCAAGGCAAGTTCTCATTTGCTTCGGTCCTCAAATACGTATTTACTCCGAAAAGCATAAAGCCATATTCAAACTTCTTGTTGAGATTGAGGGGATATGAGCCCCAGCGTTGAATTTGATAAGCGTCGCAACGGACTAAAATTTGAATCAGTAATAGTACCAGTACTACTAGCAAGCGGCTAGATTGCTAGTTGTTAATAGTAGAAATAGTAGTAGTCGTATCAGCCTCGGCCTACTTGAGCCTGTCTTAACACCTACTGGAGGTGATTGAGTGAAGATAGTGCGGTAGTACCCACGCAAACTCTACTGTGGGGCGGTGTTTTTGACTTACAGCGGAAAATGCGTCCAACGCTCGATCCAGTCTGGTATTCTTAATCAATGGTGAAGGTGATGCCTGCAGTTGGCGCAAACTACGTCTGCTATCACTTTACGGCTAACCTCCGCGACCAGGCACCTACAATTTACCAACCTATTGTTGCATTCGGTAAACTTTATCGAAATCTATGGTCGAATAATAAGTTGCTTTCTAAACTGCTGCGTACTCGCTAGTCTAAATATTTACCCAATTACTCCTAACGTGAACATTGTTAAATCCTCTACAGGGTACGGGCACCTCCCATTTTGCGTGCCTTGGTAAAAACGTCAGCATGAAGTCGGCGATCAGTGCTTTAATTCAACCTAGGGTAGTAAATGATTAGAGAATTGGTATGTCACGCGGTAGGTTCCGGACTATGAATTCTGTGGCATTTAATTTATCGTGACAGCATCTACCGCCATAAACAATCCGCCTGCCATGGCGAGTCACAGTAATGAAGACCGAAGGCAGGATCGGACGCATAAACTGTTAAATTTATTCAGAACATCTGCGCGTTAAATACATACTTGGCCGGCAAACAAAGTACTAGGTTGTAGGACTTAAAAAAAGGTTTTAATACAGGCCAAAATACTGTATATAATTACATAAGCAATAAGTTGCCAAATACGATTAACCTTCTATTTATTCCTTGAGGTTTGTATGCAATGCTAGATAATATCAGCGTGGAATCTACCGTCCAAACTTATATTTACGTCATTTTGCACACAAGTGTTAATAGGCGACTTGTAAAAGTCACTAAAATGAATGTTGTCCACAAAAACTAAACTATGCCCTATGTTAGGTAAGCACCGTCTTATGTCATTATTATCAATTATTTGCATTTTAACTGCCAAAACGTAACTGTTTTTAGAAGAGTGACCCTCTGACCGTGGATACTTTTCCCTATCACAATGGATGGGACAAGCGTTCGGCGATCTGATGGTCAGCAGTTAAATGTCAACGACCAATCAATAAGCCTTCAACTCTCATATTATCTAAA